GTATAGTCTCGGCTCACTGCAACCTCTGCTCTCCAGGTTCAAGCCTTCTCCTGCCTCAGCCTCCCGAGTAACTGGGATTACAGGCGCCCACCACCATGTCCGGCCTGATTTCTTACTCTAGATACTAGGTGTAGTGTTAGGTTGAAAAGGCGGGGACTCAGGTACTTTTCCCTGTTGGGACTGAACTTTCTCATCAAAGAATGGGCCTCAGAAGCAATATTCCCAAACTTGTAGTTGGCTGTCATAGATTCAGGGTATGGAAAAGAAACCGCAAACAAGAAAAATAATTACAATAAGAAATGGATTTTATTTTTTTGCCCGTAACAGTTACAATTTTTAAAGAACAGACCATCATCGAAAACTGTCCTTGCTTCCAAGTCGGCAGAGGACCACTGTATGTATTGTCAGGTCTTTACATAAGAGTGCAACCTTTATTTATGCTTCTTTCTGAGTAGAGAATAAATTTTAAAACGAATTAAATGAAATTTAAAAAAGAAAGAAAGAAAGAAGAAAAGCATTAGCCTCCATCCCTCGAGTCATCTCCCCACCTGCTGGCTTGATGAGACTTGGGAGTCTCACTGTTTTCATTCTTTTGGTTTAAGGCTTTGAAGGTACCGTTATCTATAAACATCATCTATATTGCCAGCCAAAGCTTGGCTCAGCTGATTCATCCGCAACTCTGAAATTCTGATAATGGGCCCCACAAAAGTTGAAGAGCCTGCTCATACGCTATCCAAGACTGTCCTAGTGCCTTGCTTAGTAACCCAGCTACCAGGATGAAGCTCTGCTCTGCCATGTCAGACCCTCTTCCCTGAGTCTGGAGGGCTAGCCCCAAATCCAGATCAGGAACCGGGGCCCCCCTGCCAGCTGAGACATGTCCCTGACAGTGCTGGCCTGCCTAGTGTCTTATGCAACTTCTCGCAGGCTGGCTTCCCTGCTGTGCGCGCCTCCACCTCCCCCATCCCCCACATCTCCCTCTCTGTATACTTGACGCTTTGCTGCTTTCGTTTCCCCGATGTTAAGGCTACTCTGGACCATGCCCTGCTGACTCTCTCCTAGCCCCTTTGGATATAGGGTTCTTCTAACACGCCTGGACTGGACTCGCTTCTGTCCCAGAGCACGCCTGCCTCCGCTCTCCAGCCCTACCCCACAGAATAGGCCTAGTTTAGAAGGCCCCAAGTGTGTTATCAGCATTGATACTGGTGGATTCTGACAGTCTTCCTGATGATGGGGGAAAAAAAAAAAACCATATATATATATATATTCCCCTTTTACAACTTCACATGTATTTACTTGTTTTAATTCAGATCTTTTACATATGCTCCTTCTGCTTCCTTGAGTGAAAAGATTTCTGTCCTTTGAAATTTTTGCAGAAAGAGGTATGTGCGTTTTGCTACAGCTGGTGCCAAACCGTGCTGTTTTCGTTGCTGTCTGAATTCAATTTCTTTCCAAAATAGTGGACCAAATTGAGATAAAGGACAGCTGTGTTCTGGAATTTTCTGGAAGGAATTTGGACTCACACACCTGGGTTCTTCCCCTACGCAGCAGTGCCTGGCTTCTAAGCTGTCACATCTCAGCTTTCAGTGTTTCCTCCTCAGAAAGGACTTTCTGCTGCCGTCTCTGAATACCAGAATCTCTCAGCTCACCTTTGTTAACCCTTTATTTGTTTCCTTCATGACACTTGTCGCAATTTAATGTGAATCACACCTGTAATCCCAGCACTTTGGGAGGCTGAGGCAGGTGGATCACTTGAGGCCAGGAGTTTGGGACCAGCCTTGCCAGCCTGACAAAACTCTCTCTCTCTACTAAAAATGGTGGCACACACCTGTCATCCCAGCTGCTCAGGAGGCTGAGGCACAAGAATCACTCGAATCCAGGAGGCAGAGTTTGCAGTGAGCTCAGATCATGCCACTGCCCTCCAGCCTGAGCAACATAGTGAGGCCCTGTCTCTCTCTCTCTCTCTCTCTCTCTCTCTCTCTCTCTCTCTCTCTCCCTGTCTCTCTCTCTCTCTCTCTCTCTCTCCCTGTCTCTCTCTCTCTCTCTCTCTCTCTCTCTCTCAAACACACACACACACACACACACACACACACACGATAATTTTGTTTGTTTGTGTTAGAGTGCCTTCCCCACCACACTACAAGATCCAAATGGCAGGAACCATGTCTGGTTTCTAAAATTATCCTCCTAAAGCCTAACATAACGCCTAGCTGTTCAAGAATTCTTTGCTGAGTGACAATATTTTCCGGTTGAAATGACAATAAAAAACTATAGACCCTACCTATCTCTGATGACCGTCAAGTGACCAAGGAGAGGAAAAATCCCTAATCCTATTCTACTTACAAATCTAGGATTTTTAAAAAATCTGTTTATTATCCAGGACCAACTGCAGGGGCTTCCAGAACCTTCTGAGGATTCCGCCATAGGCAGCTCCCTGCAGCCTTGCTACTTTCCTGATTTCCGCATCATGACAGCAATCCTTCAAGATGCCTACAAGGTGCCTACGGTCCTTGCTCTTTCTTTCTCTCTCTGGTATCGCAATTTGCTTTTAGGGAAAAAACCTGAAACCCATTCATCCTATGATTTTACATGGGAGTATTATTAGCAGTTAACCGCTTACACACTAGAGCCATTGGAATGAAACATTCTGGTAGACTTTCTGGTCTTATCTGGCACTGGAGGAAGCAATTTCAGGAAATGGGCCTTAAGGGGCCTGCAACTCGAAGTGCGTTCGCTCTATTTCCAACCAGCTCGCGCTCTTTAGCGATGACGCCTTAGAAGGGAGGGGCACAGAAAGAAAATGAGAGCAGAATTATGTGAGGTTGAAATCTTACCGTAAGTTCCTTAGCTTTTGCCGTCTGGCATAATACGAACTGTTCAATGTTAATGGCTATGTTTCTAAAAATATGAGATGGACTGGTTTTTTGTGTTTGTTTTTTTTTAGGAGAAAAAATTGAGTTCCAGATGTTTTCTCTAGTTGGACAACTCCAGTATCTGTGGGCCAAGCACCTTATCCTCAGACAGAGGCCAGGTGTACTCCGAGTCTCCGCGTTGGTATCATAATACACATTCTATGATCTCTCTGCAAGACCTTTTTGGAAAAGCTTTCCCTCCCTGATAACTAAGACTGATTGGTAGTGAAGGTAAGACTTCTGTTTGCCTTTCCGAATCTCCTCGCAGAGATGATGCTCCTTTGTTGGTGCAAGGATCGGTGGTCGGGCCCTCGATCCTTTTTTTGGAGCAATAGTTATTTCTCTTCCTCCAACTAGAGGAAATCTCGGTCAGGGAAGCCAGTGAGAAGCAGCCTCACTCTCAGGGAACTTTCCTGAGCATCAGCTTACATATCCATAAAGCAAGACACAAAGACCTGTTTCACAGACTCCTCCCGGGGGTCTATACTTCTGTAACGCCTTCTCATTTTTTAGGTCCAGTTCAGGTCTCCCCTTTTCTCTGTGTAGTTTGTTAGTATTTTTGTTGTGGTGGTTGTGGTTGTTTTGTTTGGTTTGTATGTATCACCTCCTGGAGCCTATGGTTCCTAGAATTGATATAAATGAATTCCTATTTAATTTTCTTCTAATCGTTAGAATCATGTGAGTTAATCTGATCACACTAGGCAGAGTGCAGGCTTGAGAAACGGAAGTTCTGGAATCATCGCTCAGCATTCCATTTCCAAATACTGTGTATTCAAAATAATAACAAAAACAATCAGATCATAACAACAATGACTGTGTAATGACTCTTATTTCCCAAGCACTGTGCTGAACTCTTTACAGTCAACTCAGTTAACAGCCCTGTAAGGTCGTTAACAGCTCAGTTAACAGCACCAGGAGGTAGATATCAATAGGGCCCAATTTACAGATGAGAAAACCAAGCCTCAGAAATTGTCTTGCTGGAGTCCAGATGTAAGTTAGCAACTGGAATTTTAACCCCTGCAGGCCCGAACTCAAAGCTCCTTGCATTACGGGCTTCCTGGTGGGTAAAGTCCAAGTGCTCCCCTCCCCACCAAGTCTGCCATCCTTCTCTTACAGTCACAGCACGAAGCAGACAACGAGAGAGAAAGAGAGAGACAGAGAGAGAGAGAGAGAGAGAGAGAGAGAGAGAGAGAGAGAGACTGATTTTATTAAGACAAATGACACGTTTTATTTGCTTTTTCCTTTCTAAAAGCCTCACCGTGAAAGACTGATCCCACGGAATTTCTAATTCGAGAACAATCATTTCATAAAACATTTCAGAGATAGAAGGAGAGAGAAGATGAATGCGAGACAATAGATTAAAAGGTGTCCCCTCCAGGGACCTGAAATGATCAGACGTTCCTTCCTGAATGGGATCCTGGTCACTTTCCTCCACTTCTCTACTCTTGTGTTCCTTTCACCCAACCACAGCATCCAAATATCACAGAGGGCTGGCGAGTCAGGGTTCAACCTCCTTCTGAGCCTTTACCCTCCTACGTCCCAGCCTCCCATGCCTATCTGTTCAGGTTAATAACGCCAAGACAGTGCGACTCAGCCCCTCTGCCAGGCAGCCAGAGATGACACAAGCTCCTCTGTGGTTTCCTTTCCTTATTTCAGGACTTCCCTCCCCTTTACCCATCTTAGCACGCGCGCACGCCCACACGCACACACACACATGCATGCATGTGCATTTTAATAATGTAATAATCTTTCTATAAGTTCAGTATCCAATTCCAAGCATCCTTTACCTTCATCCAAAACAACAGCAACCCATTATAGATCCAGTGAATACAGAAACCAGGCCAGTCCTTGGGGAAGGCAAGGTTTTTCTGCAGCCCCCACATGGCAGTCTCATTACGGGCACTAGGGAGGCCTAGGAATCTCTGTGCTCTTGAAATAAAGGCCTTACCAAGTGAGCTGGAGATTCCCCTACTATTTCCGTGGCCCTGTTAAAGCCTCCAGGGAGAGAGAGCTCTGGGGGCGTCCGTAGCGGTCATCACACCTCCTCTTGGCACTAAGTTGGCAGCGAAGGAAGTAAATAGGAGAAAATAGTTTTCCAGCATTTTCTCTTCTTTTTTATTTTCATCTTCACAGCAGAATCTTTTTTTCCGCGAGGGGAATCTGAGAAGCACAATGCTTTCTTTGTTTTCACAAAGAAAACGGGGAAATTCCATTGGCCTCAGTGGCTGGTGATCTGGTCGGGGTTCGAGAGAGGACAAGGGCTTCCTGGGTATTCCTGTCCATAAGGCCTTTAGGGACTGGCTGGGTGAACAGCCAAGGGAGAAAGGGAAGGGATGGTTTCTGTCATTGGGTTGAACTGTAAAGGAGCTGCGGATGACAGGTGGTGGCAGGAATTCCAGCGGAGTTTGTGCGCACAGTGACTCCACGGGAGAGCTGACACCTTCACAGGCTGGCTGTACACTCTGGCGGAAGGAAAGGTTGCAACATCACCAGGGCGGGACACCTGCCAGAGGTACATACCAAGGCACTTGTAAAGTTGAGGCTGCCGGTGAAGTTCCAAGAAGCCCTTTTAAAGATGGAGTAGAAGGAGGAGAAGCCAAGGGCAGCCCAAGGCCATCTCACCGCTACTGCAAGGAACGGCCTGTGGAGCCAACAGATTCAAGAACATGTCTATTCCAAGTTCCTGGATACATGCTCTCTTTCGGCCGGGAACTTTGAGCTCTTCCTTGGAGAAGCGAGGGTGATCGGGTGGAGGGGGAAGGGTAGGAACTTGGAGAACTCATCTGGTATGTGGCTGGTATGCAGAGAGAGTCACTCTATCCCTCTGGCTATCCCTTCCAGGCTAGCTTCTGCCACGCTTCCCTTCCCTTCCTCTACCCTGTTTCTTGAGTAATCTGAAAGGCTTCATTGATTATACCGGGTAGAGGGTGGGGAGGGAACTGTAGTCTGGGAGGGTAGTCACATCTCTTCTTATCCCAGAGCCCTGGTTATAGTTTCTCGAATTGATGAGCAATGTCATTGAGCCCCGGGGCCCAAAGGAGCCAAGCAATGATGACAGCGAGAAAACGTCAGAAGGGACATCTTTCCTCTCTGAGCCTCCTTCGTTCCCACCTGGTCCTGGTCCTCCCAGGAAGGACGGTCACACTGAGAGGTCATCTGACCTGGCCTTGCTGCTGGCCTTACTCAGACGTCGCTTGTCGCTATGGTAGCCGTGGGGGAGGCGGTGACCCGGTGAGACTCCGTTGGGCACCTCAGGCTTCTGGTCATAAGGAACCTGGATGAAACCTTTCCCAGGAGTCTGATCCTGGCCTCGCACCTGCTCCGTGGCCAGGTTATCGGTGTTTTGTTGCGAGGCCACATTATTGCTGAAGGAATGGAAGAATTTCCCCCCAGGGCCGCTCTGCAGGCACTGGTTAAAGTCAGGGGGCGGTGTGCAGCTCTGGACTAGGCTCGCAGAGGGGCCGGAGAGCTGGCACTTGGCCACGTCCTGCCGCGACTTGACGCATCGCTGTCTGAGCTTCTTCCAGCCCAAGTGGTAGAGTTCAGCCAGGCTGAGGAAGAGGGACAGCGCAGCCACCGCCAGCATAAAGACGATGAAGACATTCTTCTCCGTGGGTCGGGATACGTAACAGTTGACCGGGTGGGGACAGGGACTCCTGCGACAGACGTGCAGGGTGGTCAGGAAGACTCCGTAGATGAAGTACTGGCCCACGATGAAGCCCACCTCCATGGTGGTGCGGATCAGGATGCTGCACACGTAGGTGTGGAGCAGAGTGCCCCGGAGCACGATCCTCCCGTTCCCTTCCTCCCAGCAGGACGGCTCGGCCTTCTCGGCCCCCACCGGGTACTCGTAGGAGCCGGAGCCACCGCCCGCCCTGGCCTTCTCGGCCTCCCGCAGCCTGCGCTTCTCCTGCATGCGCACCGTGTGCATGGCGTGGCCCATGTACACCAGCGAGGGCGTGGACACAAAGATGATCTGCAGCACCCAGAAGCGAATGTGCGAGATGGGGAAGGCCTGGTCGTAGCACACGTTCTGGCAGCCAGGCTGAATCGTGTCACACCGGAAATCAGCCTGCTCGTCCCCCCAGGACGACTCAGCCGCGGTGCCCAGCACGAGCATGCGGAATATGAAGAGGACGGTGAGCCAGACCTTGCCCACCACCGTGGAGTGCTTGTGGACCTCCTCCAGGAACTCTCCCAGGAAGCTCCAGTCGCCCATCTTGGCTCAGCTAGGGGACAGATGCCAACACTTCTGCACATGGGGAAGAGAGAGAGACAGAAAGGGAGAAGGATGTTCTGTGAAAGTCTGGAAGGTATATCGCGTTCCGGGAGTCCACTGATCCGTACCAATGGGCTCTTGAAGAAAATGCAATGTCGAGGGCAAAGCACCCAAAGAAAAGCTCTCTTTCACTTCCCAGCAAAAATAAAAAGAACGAGAAGATTCAAAGTAGCGCTATTAGCAAGATGAGAGCGTGGCTCCCACCCTTTAACAGATCTAGAAATGCACACACACGGAGATGTGTGTTACAATACAGATTCTGCTCCTGCCCCACTAATTCTGCTTCAGGAGGTCTTGGATGGCCCTCAGGAATGTGGATTTACAACAAGCGGCCCAAGGGATCCTGATGCAGGCGGTTAGGGACTGCACCTGGAGAAACATGAGTATTAAAAAGAACCCAGGATTGGGGTCTGCAAATGTGACTCCCGGCATTTACCCCACTGAGTCTGTTTCTTCATCTATCAGATGGGGCTGGGGATAGCTGCACCAGAGAATTCTGAGGATTCAATGAGATGAGGTGTGTGATATTCTGAAAATCAGTCCACAACTGTTTCAAACGTTTCAATGGCTGCTGGATGGAAAGGATTTTTTTTTTTTAATGGCTTCAGAGGACAGAACTAGGCGGAGGAGGAAGCGGTGAGGGTGGGATTGGCAAATTTGTCCCCGCAGGAAGCACTCTGCAAAAATCAGAACCGTCCGGCCTGGGCCAGGGCTGTCGGGTGGTGGTAAACAGAAAGGGTGCTTTGGTCCTCCCGGCTAACGGTATGGCAGGTGGGCGCTGACTTTCCCCGGCTGGTAAGGCAACGTTGACCTCCCATGCCTCAGTACAACACACCACTCCAGCCACGCAGCTCAGCTCGCCCTGCTGCTAAGTTTGTGTGTCTCATTTAAACAAGGTTCCCACACACAGATCTGCTCACTCTTACATCCAGAAGAAATGTCCCAAAACTTTATGTCCCATACAAAATCTTCCCTCATCTGGCCCTGGCCTGCTTTTCCAGCCTCTTCCTGCCCGTCCACACGAGTCCCTTTTGTGCAGCCATGCCAAGTCTTCCCACGTGCCCTCCTCCTGTCCCTCTACGTGTCCCCTCACCCCTAGATGAATCCCATTTACCTTTCAAAACGTAACTAGTCATTGCTTCCTCCAGCCCTCCCGCCTCCCTCAAGCTGCGCCTCTTCCGCTCCTGCGACGGCCCCCGGGACACTTACTGGTCTCCCAGTGTTTGGCGCCGGGTGTTGCAATCCTCGGCCTGTGTGTTCTCTCAGTAGGGACTGTTTGAAAATGGAGACCGTCTTTTCTTCTGTATCACCAGAGCCTGGCCCAGAGTAGGTGTTTAGAACATCTTACTCGAGTGAAGGAAGGAGGGGTTGACAGGCTCTGTGGTTTCCTACCCAATAGCAAACCAATTCCCCGTTTCTTGCCTGTCTCCCATTGGCAGGGTGAAAAAGCCAGGTATCACTTTCTCAATCTCCTCTGCAGTTAGTTCTGGTAGGTGAGGTATGGGGAGAATCTAAAGTAGAGGGAATGCTCCAGAAAAGGTTTTTCTACCCCCTAGTAAATGGAGTGCTCCCATCCCCCTGTGAACAGGAGGGAGCCTCACTCACAGTACTCCCATCCCCCGGCGAACAAGAGGGAGCCTGCTCAGAGTGCTCCGATCCCCCAGTGAAGAGGAGTGAGCTCGCTCACCCCTCTTGCTTCCTGCCTGTGGATGGAGTTGCGTGAACCAAGATGTCCGAAGCTGTCCAGAGAATCTCAAAAATGTCAGCCAGTCCCCTGTGGCCTCTGAAGCGACTCTCGAGGCGCCTACCTCCAGAATTCTTACTTAGTTAATAATAAATGCCCTCATGGTTTGGCCAGGTGCGGCGGCTCATGCCTGTAATCCTAGCACTTTGGGAGGCCGAGGCGGGGGAGGGGGGGGATCACAAGGTCAGGAGTTTGAGACCAGCCTGACCAACATGATGAAACCCCATCTCTATAAAAAAACAAGAATATGAAACATAAATAAATGCCCTATGGTTTAAGTCTCTAATCATTCCTAACCAACAGCATGACAAAGCTCTCAGAGGGAATGGAACATAAATATTCCCTTCTTAGAATCATAAAACCTCAGAGTCGAGTGGGACCTCAGGTTGTCCAGTTTGAACTGTCACCTTCATAGCTTTGCTGCCGGCGTGCTCCTGGTTTCTAGCTGAACGTTCTTTACGCGCGTGGAAAAAGACGGGTCAGGGTGGTGCATTTCAGAGTCCGGGTTTCCTCAGGTCCTGAGCTGATGGTTGTCTTGACAGGGACCAACCTCCTTGCCCTGTCTTCTCTCAGACCCCAGGTCCCAAACCTTGAGAACGTACCGAGTCCCTGGGAATGAGGGAGTTTCTCAGTGAGCAGAAAGGGTTTTATCTCTGCTCCTCTCTATAGCAAAGACCCATCCAGGTCTTGAAGCCTTTCACGTCATTTGTGATCAGACACGTGCCCCATCTCCTTAGGTGGTGAAGCGTCCCCCGTTTCAGCCTCCAAATGTGGAAAATTGTGGGACATGTGCTCAAAAGGAAAATGGCTGATTAGATAAGCGTTTGAATGGTCTGTCACCTCTTCTGGGCACGTGTACAGCGTTCAGCACCTTCAGGGTCAGCCACACACGTGCGGTGACTGGACTGTGGTGAGTGTCTGCGAAAAAACAGGCAGGGGGAGAGGGGACGGCTGAAAAGAAGAAATGGGAATGACACGAAGGAGTTGAAAATGGAAAAAAAGACCGTGTAGGCCTTAGGAAAAGACAGACGTGGAAGTTAGATGTTACTGAGGTTCAACAAATCCCTCTTGCCATCTGCCGGGCTTGGATACATGATTCAGTCCGTGTTTCACTTTCCTCACCTGCAAAATGGACATCCTGTTAACTCATAGAGTGCTATGAGGTGATGCGTGCAAAACGCTTAGCACGGTGTTCGGCAAAGAAAGCTGAATAAAAGGCAGCCATGGCCAGCAATGAGAGTGGTGGGAAGGAGGGCAGGAGAAGGAGGAGGAAGAAAAAGCGGAAAGTAGAGAAAGGTGCATGACGAAGGAGAAAGGGAATGGGAGCGAGAGGAGAAGGGGAGGGAATGAGAAGAAAATGGAAATAGAAAGGAAACAGACAGAACCGAACGGCAGATTCTTCCAGGATGCGGGGCAAGGTTTCCACACTCCGTCCCTGAAGACTTTTCCCTTGATCTTCTCACTCTGTCATTCATTCCTTGCAAGTCCCCAGGGAAGTCTAAAAATAGTTCCAGGCAAAGAATGTGACTCTTCGGTCTGGTCTGCCAAGAGGCTTGACTGCGGATTCCTCCACTGCGGTCCAAGGAATTCTGCCCGGAAGAGGTAAAGCGCGGGTACGAGAAAGGAGCGCCTTGGAAAACCAGAAAGACGGTATCAGGAGGGATGTCTTGTTGGGAGGAAACGAGAGAAACCGGCCGAGGAGGTGTGGGGGGTCAGGCGGACCTCCTGGGCCCACCAGAGGAAATAGAGTGAAAGACTTTTCATGTATGACTTCCCGCTGACACTCGGGCAAGGTCGGAGAAACTGAAAATTGCCACCATGTACCAAGATGCTCAGCTTATAACGTGAAAGGTCGCTGGCTGAAGTTAGTTTTCCAGCTACCTTGGCTCCCTTTGGATACCCCCATCTCAGCCAAAGAAATGTGTAGATTAGATACGCGATGAGTTTTACTGGGCGTATAGCACATAAAATGCTTTGTAGATTATCATCAGGAAGCGTGTTAGGAGGGGCAAAGGAAGTTGCCCATGTCGTGAATAAATTCTATCAAACACAATGGCCGTTTACCTCACGGCTTCAGCGGTCACCCTCACGGGCTTCCTTCCACTTACAAAGTCCAGACTTCTTAACTTGCCATTTGAAACCCTGTACGGTCTCATGTTATCTCTTTTCCACCGATCTCCTCATCCGCGTGGTACTGAAGCTCCACAATGCCCCATACATACATACACATTTCTGCATTTCTCACCCATTTATCTTGGCTTCTTATGTTCCCTCTGCCTAGACTGTCCGTCCCTTTTATTCATTCATTTAATAAGTTTATTGAGTGGCTACAGGGCGCCGGCCGTCACTCTAGGCAATGAGGATACAGCAGGAAGGAGCAGAAACAAGCAAGGATTCCCTGTCTTCACTGTATGTAACTGCCTTGATACCCCTTAATTAAGAGGAGACATTAAACACATGATTTCAATAAAACATGGTGTGTGTTAACATTAAGGAAGTATAAGGTGTTACGGGAATGTGGGGCAGAAGCCTGAATCTGGTTTATGGGTTTGGGGAGGGTCTTAGAGAATTGCGTTCTAAAGCCCTCTGCCACTGCTCCCGGTTCTGAAATTAGCAAGGCAAAAAGAGATGGTCCCTAGAACCTGGAAGAGAACCATCCCATCTCTAAAGCTTCTTCGCTCCAAAACCTTCAACATCCTGTTCCAACATGTCCTGTCCTGAGCAAAGTTGGGAGGGGTGATTAGGGCACTTGTTAGGCAATAGCAGCCTTGGAACTTAGGTCAGAGGAAGAGGGCCCGAGGAAGGATTTTGTCTGTAGTGAGCATAAATCATTTTATGCCTTTATTTCGTGCACTATATGGCCAAAGGGACAGAAAGCTCAGGCACCTACGTTCCTAATCCCGTGCTGCTGCTGTTTTTGTTTTTGTTTTTGTTTCTGTGTTGAGACAGAGTCTTGCTTTATCACTCAGGCTGGAGTGCAGCCTCCCAGGCTCGAGCAGTTCTCCCTGTCTGACCCCGCTGAGCAGCTGGAATTACAGGCGCACACCGCCACACCCAGTTAATTTTTGTATTTTTAGTAGAGATGGGGTTTCACCGTGTTGGCCAGGCTCTTCTCAAACTCCTGACCTCAGGTGATCGGCCCTCCTCGGCCTCCCAAACTGCTTGGATTACGGGTGTGAGCCACCACACCCAGCCCCGTGCTCCTTCTTACCGTGACATTGTGGTCCCCCTACATGGCCAATGTTTTTCAAAGCAAATCGTTTCAGAGCAACCCGGGTGAATCATAAACTCACAGCCAGACCTCTTCCCCTGACTCCACAGATCTACAGCGAAATGGAGAAGTCTTCTAAAATTGACCTCAGCCCTCTTTGGTGTTTCCTGAACTCCAGAAGACTCTAAATTACCAACCAGCATGCAGGATGCATTCTCACACTTGGTTATCTATTTCCTTAGACTTGTTTTCCAAAAGTTTGTCTGTCGGCCAACCTGCAGATACTTTGCTGAGTCCCAACTGAGAACAGTACCACAGAGGGACAAGGCCTGACACTTACTGGGCACTCAATGATGTCTATTAAATTAATGAGATCGGCCGGGCATGGGAACTCACGCCCGTGATCCCAGCACTTTGGGAGGCTGAGGTGGGTGGATCACCTGAGGTCAGGAGTTCAAGAGCAGCCTGGCCAACATGGTGAAAACCTGTCTGTAGTAAAAATACAAAAATTAGCCCAGGGTGGTGGTAGGTGCCGGTAATCCCAGCTACTCAGAGGCTGAGGCAGGGTATCAATTGAATCTGGGTGGCAGAGGTTGCAGTGAGCCAAGATCATGCCAGTATACTACAGCCTGAGCAACAGAGTGAGACTCCGTCTGAAAAAAAAAAAATTAATAATATCAGCCACGATTCCTTCCTCAAGTATTTAACAGCTTTTTCTCTCAAATGGGGAGTATGCGTCTCAAAATCAAAAGCCCTGTCTTCTACTTTGTATCCCTATTGTATTAAGTTCTCTCATTTGGTACGTGATAAATGCTTTCTTAATGATGGAAGAAAATATTTGGATAGCCATAAGATTGCAAAGTGGTCCGAAGGAGACTCAAATTTTTCTTCTTAAGGTCAGCAATAAACATAAAACCTTACGATAAGTAAATAAAAATAAAAGCTTACATACTGTTCAGAAAGTGCTTCTACACTCTCTTGTTGGTTCCAAGAGAGCAGGATCATATTTGTTCTGTTCAAGACTGAATACCTTCACAGTGTTACAGACATTCCATTTTTATTGCTGAGTGAATGATTCCTCAGAACCGCTCTGTGGGATGATTGTGATTGCCCGTGTTTTGCAGAGGAGGAAACAGACAACCGTGATGTGTTCAAAGAAACCGTTCATGGCGGCAGAATCAGGGCTTCATTCCGGAGTTTCTGTTCAAAGACTCACATGCCAGAAAGTTTCCTTCCGTGTCGCCTCCGAGGGCGGAGCTCATCAATTCTTAGGCCTTTGAGGGAACTTCCCAGTGGAGACAACTCTTGTGTAGGAGTTAGGTGCCCGGGATGTTTGTAGGGGTGTGGAGTGGATGGAGGAGTTGCCGAAGAGATGAGGGGACTTCAGAGAAAGGCAAGACTGCGTGAACAGATGCACTGAAATGGAAACCAGCATGGTTTTAGAGTGCAAGGAGCAGAGCATGGAGGGAGAGACTGCGGAGCATGCAGGATCAGGTTGCAGAGGGCTTTAACGGCCACGGCTAGGAGTTTGGAGTCATCCTCAACCCACGTGCTAGGCCGAGCTTAGTCCGTGATTTGCTCCGGAGGGCCTGATCTGAAGCCTCCACATGTGGTTGGGAAGTCAAGGAGCGCACATCAGTAATGTCCATGCTTATAGCAGTCTTTTAGAAGGTATATTGCTCGTGAGTGGGGTGCTACCGTGGGGATGCCTTGAAAATTCTCTTGTTTCGATTGATTCCAGTCCTGTCCCTTCTAATACAGTATTTTCCAACAATTTGTGTGTCCTCCAAGTCAGCGGCTGGGCCTTGGGCTGAACTGTAAAGCGTCTGGGGTCTCACACACCTGAGAATTATTTTCTCTACAAGCTGTGAATCCTCTCTCCCACTCAACCCTGAGCTCCTTGAAGACAGACTCCT